TTAAGTACATCTTTACATTGCATGCTTAAACAAAAGCACTTTATGCTTAAACAAGAAGACTTCATGTCATATATATATAAATATTAAAACAAGAAAACTATATCTCTTCTGCACTTTATGCTAAAACAAGAAAACAACAACTCTGCGCTTTGTGCAAAAACTAATGGGAATGTAAATGTAAGCATGTGAAGTAACAAACATGACTTTGTTTGTTTCACCTTTTGTTCTTATAGCACACAACTTAATGAAGACTGTATTAACATTCATCTCATGACTGACACTGGTAAACAATCAATGGTACATGAAAGAGGCATAATACCAAACATCTAACATATCTGAGTATTTCATAATAATTGCAATTAGAGAATTTTTTTCTAAACACATTTATACTTTAAAAATTCAAACCCACCATACTAAAACTTTTAGCTGAAACGTAACAACACAACAATATATAAGACTACCCCCCCCAGCCCCTCTGGTCCCTTCATAAAATATTGTGTACAATATAAACATCATTCTATTTCTATTACATCTTACATAAACATGTATCTATAATGTATTAATATTATATTTCTATTATATCAATATAAACATCTATATTGACTAGAAGCCGTGGAAGGTCATTATGCAATCCTAATTTGTAAAATAAAATCTTCATGCATCATACATTCATACATCTCAATATCTAGAAAACATGTTTTCTCTACACCGCAAAAAAACATCATCTTACTAACTAAAGTGTATAAAGCCATAGATAACTACATAAAGTATACCAAACTATTATTTGAATTTTGAAAAGATTATCTTTCAAAATAACTGTATGAAAGAGATACATTTGCATATTAGTTTCCCTTAAGAATGAATACCATGTGCATGAAATCATTGCTAAGCAGTTATAGCCCTTTTTTAAAAGAGCAACATACTCTCCTGTTCTGAATATTTTATTCTATTTATGTGCAACAGTATTGTGTGTTAAATAACAGTATATAAATAACACATGGGTTTGTGGGTAACAGTAAAAATATCATCCCGAGGAAAATACTGTTACCCGAGGCGTAGCCGAGGTTAACAGTATTTTTACGAGGGACGATATTTTTACTGTTACTCACAAACCCATGTGTTATTTATTTTATTACCCCGAACAAAAAAACTGTGATGATCTGAAATTGTCAACTAAATCTAACTGTAACAAAAAACCCCAAAGAGTAACAATAACTAAACTGTCCTTACCTTTTAAGTTTTAAGTGTACTTTAGGCCTACTTGAGTAGTTTTCTTTTTCTTTTATTCTTTCAGCAAGTGATGATATCTACAAATCATAAACATACAATAAGCTAGGTTTTATTTAGAAAACAAAACACTAACCCATTTATACGGTTATGATCTGTGAAATCTGATCCTTCTGTTTCCAGAATATTCTTAGCACGGTTTTTGACATAATAACGATGATATCCTATGTCTGTCCACCATATCTGTAACGTTTCACTGATTAAAAAATCCTTTGTTGCATGCTTAAATCGTCTGCATGTTCCAGTTTGACATATATAATTATTTACATTGCAATTACTTCCGTTGAAAACGGATGTTCACTTTTTGACTATTCAACAAAAAGATATTTTATACGCGAAAAGCATACCAGGGTGCAAACAACTAAATTTTATGAGTGTCATAGTTACTCCAGACAAGAAATTGATGTCCTATCGGGTTTAACGTTGAAAATAAGAATGAATCGAGAGAAAAAATGGCGTCCATTTTTATTTCATTTGATTTAGAAAATAGACCACGTGACCAGATTTTATACTGTTAAAAATACTGTTACCTATGTAACAGTACATAATTCTTAGTCACGTGGTACACTTGCATTAACAGTAAAAATAACTCCCAGAGGCCTATGGGAAATTAGCATTACGAAAAAAGTGAGGGGTAATAAAGACAGTTTATTTTACAAATATTTCAAAAATAGATTTAAAGATTATGCATACAACATAATTTTTTTCCATTATTAGACATTACAAAAATATGTCACTAGATATCGCTTCATACCCTTTAACATGTTTAAGAGTAAAATATAAATAGATCAATTAAGATTCTTTCAATATATGAACAAAGTATTACAAACAAAATTTCCAATGATTAAAACATAGGATGCCCTAACTTCTTGCTGCAACTAAAATGGAGAAATAAATACACCCATAAAGTTTAGAATACACTTAAAAAAATTATTCAAAATCTAAAGAATTAATTTGAATTTTTATTACATTACTTTTATTTTTATTAAGGATCTGCAAACTGATAATAAACTGAGAATAAACTTCAGATTTTTTTATGTAATAAGGCACTAAAATCAGTTGTGATATTTGGACATTAATAAGTCTTACATTTTCTTTAAACTAAAAAATGCATTGAATGACATATTAAACCCTATCAGGCACACTAGATTATTTCAATGGTAATAACTTTAAAAAAATAATATGGTTTAAAGATCAGTCAATTTCCTTCACAAATAATTCTCTTTTAGAATTTGGCACCAGTTCACATAGCATTTATGTATTATACCTCATTATCATGTTATTAAATAAATATATAAAGATTACCCTGCTTTGTTTACAACCTGTCACTGCCACTTATTTAATCATTTGAGACAGTTTGTGTTTAGCATTCTTCTTAAACCGTATGATAAGACAAATAATGCTTGGTTTTTTTATAACAAAGCTTTTTGAAAACTTTAAAATTTGACTCAATGAAAAACAAATCTGGAAAAAATTAAATGCTTAAGACAAAGCAGTTTTAACTCCTGGAATTTCTCATTTTCACGTATGAATGCTACCCAACTTCTATCTTAAATAAATAATCACAATACATACAAAATAGTTAAATAAACATCTATTATGCAAACAATACAGAAACTAAAAGTCAGCAAGGAATGTCAACTGTAACACTTGCACATTTTTAATTTTATGTGTTTTTTTTTCTAGCCATCATCAACATATAACGCAACACATACTAATGCTGTAAAAATAGATTAGGTAACAACCTTAAAAATTGCCTTATATATAAAGTACCATTATAGATTGCCTTCAAATTAATACAAATACAACTGTAATCAATACAAAGGTGACCTTAACAAGTTGATGTAGTACAGCTTATGTAACCCAAAACTCAAGAACTGTGGGGGTGTGGAAATGGGATAAGGTTTTAACTTCAGTTTATCCCTGCCCTACCTTGTAAATGCCATAGTTTTGTTTGGGCCCCAAATCATCAGAGGTTATGTCAAACAAAGCAAATATCATTAAGCAAGAAGTTTACCTTATGACTGCCTCTATAGGGGATGTGTATAGGGGAGGGGAAGCTGTGGCCATAAACCATTGGTCCAAAGTTGACGCAAATCTTTATTTAATTTTTAATATTTGTCAAATAGCAAGGAAGTGATTGTAGTAGTTTGATTTGGTCAAAGTAATGCTGGAATGTATTTTATCTTAATGCAGACCTTTCATCCACGCACCACTAGTATACATTTTTATTCCAATCCTTTTTATCATTAAAAGAAAAAAATATCAATATTAGGAGTTCTGAATGTAAAATGAATGATTAAAAATCAGGAATCTTTCCTACACGACTGTTGTATTTAATGAACATTACATCATGTGTATAATAATAACTGACAAATTTAATAAATGAAACTAAGCAACATGTAAAGCATTGTGTCTAGAACAATAATAGTTCCATTATTCATTGGAATATTCTAAATAAGTAATGACATTATGCTGTTCAATTTTTAAATAATCAATATATATTTAGTTATTGTATGGTCCAGCCACAACATATAAGGTCAAGAAACAGCTTGACCTTTTTTATAAAACATTACCTTTATAACAACACATTACTCAAAGTTTAACTTTCAAAATATCAACAAAAACACAATATTATTCAAATTGCACAATTTTTCTTGCAACAGTTGATTTTATACATATTTTATACATTTATTCCAACATCTTATTCATGTAAACAAATAGGACTATTCTGTAATTTTGTGTACTAATTTAGAGAAACTGTTTAATTTAGTTGATATTTTTATATGACATATGGGTAGATATGTATTGCAATTCATGGTATATACATATGTATGGACTGAAATGTATTTGGATATGCAATACAAAATGTATTTGGATATGCAATACAAAATGTATTTGGATATGCAATACAAAATGTATTTGGATATGCAATACAAAATGTATTTGGATACGCAATACAAAATGTATTTGGATACGCAATACAAAATGTATTTGGATATGCAATACAAAATGTTGGGATAACAAAATAATTTAAGTTTAGTCATAAAACCAGTACAAAAAAATATGCATATACACATCATTTTCTGTTAAATAAAATCACCCATTTCCAAGTACCAGACAGAAATAGAAAAATAGTTTCAAATATCTAAAAAGTATCTTAAACTTCAAAATCAGCCTTCATAAATAATAAAAGGAAACATGCTTAAAATTATTTTAAAAAATAATTATTAAATTACTGTAAATTCAGCTAAACAATGGCACTTCAAACAAAACATGGTTGAATGAATTAGATTCGTATGAAAATGAAAATTCATCATTTTTAATTAACTATTTTTTTATTTTATTTATTTGATGAAATGTCTGCTGATAAACTACCTTATACCAAAAATGTATACCTTTATACCAACAATAATTCACTAGATAAATATGATGATATCTGCACATACATTCAACATTTTTGTGATTTTACAAAATATTAACACTGTGTAAGATTTTATAATTTTGTTAACAGAATGCAAAACTTATATGCAACAAGTTTGTTAATAAACAATATAAGTTCATGAAAATATCAATAATTCAGATGCCTGTATCTCATCTTAACTGTATTACCTCCCTCTAACAAATTCAAATACAATGTATATTTTGCATTAATTTTTGACAATTTGTTAAACATCATGATAAGTTGAAAACAACTTTTTCTATATATCATTAAGAATCAAATTTTTTAAGAATGTCCATTTATGTAAATTATGATAATTTTAAATTATTATGTGTCTCTAATAGTGGTTAATTCCTGCTCTTCTTCCAAAAGAACTACCAGTTTTGAAATAACACTTTGCATTCATACTGCTTTTACCTAAAGTGTGTAGGGTTTAAAATGTAACATATCATCTATGTGTGTACTCAAAAGATATTTATTTTACATTTAAAAGAGTTTGTAAAGCAATTAACAATACTTTCAAATATCAAATTTGAGGATAATAAACAAGTTTTAAAATAAAAATCTCTCTAAAACTTTTAACACAAAGACATAATTATTATCAATTATTTTTAAAACTGAACAGTTGAAGCCTTGTATACAAGATGTACATGTAGATTCTACACAAACTGCACTGAACATTTCGTGCCCTGCATACAAAATCCTACTGGAACTGTAATGAAAATGTCATGCCCTGCATACCATATGTAGATCCTACAGAAACTGCACTGAACATTTCATGCCCTGCATACAAGATGCAAATCCTATTGGAACTGAACAGCTGCACTCAATTTCCTCTGAAACCCTTGTGTATTCACCTCCGGAAATAGTTCTTCTAAAATCACATCAAATACTGTGTACCAAAAATGCCTGAAAATAAAATGAACCAACTTACAAGTACTGAATACTAGTATCTCAGAATTAAAGCTTCATTTACAGAAATCTATAATATATTTCACCAAGTGATGGAAGGTTCGTTGAAGAACAAGCATACAACTTGTAAAACAGCACAGTTTATCAATTTTGTCTAGCTATTACTTATCATGGCTTATGCCTTAAATTTTTATGGTGAAACAGCCTATGACTTTCATATTTTGAAAAAAATCTCACACATGAGTAACCAATAGAAAATTAGAAATATTTTACAAAACTTTAAAAACATTCGCTTTTTTTTTTTTGTATTTAACATCACACCAACACAGTATAGGTCATATGGCGACTTTCCAGCTTTACTGGTGGAAGAAGACCTCAAGTGCCCTTCCATGCATTATTTCAGGCACAAGCAAGCACCTTTGTAGAACCACCGATGTTCCTTTAGCTAGCTAGCTTTCTCTCATGAAGAATCTAAAGATAATAGTGTGGCTCGAACCTACAGAGAAGAGAGGCAAGTGGTTTGAAGTCAACTAGGTAAAAACATTCACTTTCTATTCAGATGATATCAATTTTGCCATATGCAGGACTGTTTTTATATATCATATACAATTTGCTTTCAAAGGGACAATAAAAATGTGAACAAGTATGTGTGCAAGTAAACATACAAACATCTGCTCTCACTGTTGATTTAACATGGCCAGGCTTACACTAACGTTTAATAAAATGCATCAAAATTTGATAAATTTAAATTTCATCGACATTGTGATGTCATGATTTGATGACGTCATTAAGCAGAGGGCATGATTTACCTCACAATAATCAGTCTAAATTGTTTATTCTTTCTCTCCCCACAACCCCCCCCCCCCTAAACAAGGCTGATGTATATTTATCTGTTACAATAACCAAACATACAGGAATATATATACCTTAGAATTAATATTTAGCTTCACTGAGACAGCCAAACCCTTGTCTTAAAATATCTGAGAAAAATCTCAAATCTTAAGTTGAGAATTTTAGTGAAAGCCAAACTGAGAAAAATCTCAATCTTAGGTTCTGAGTTGACAAAAATCTCAAATTTGAGCTGAGATTTTGACTTTGAGAACATAAGCGAAAGCCAGGCAAATATGACCAAGTCAGTCATACAATTATAGTTAAACAGAAAAAAAAATGGTTGCTACGGAAATACCTGTTAAGTTTCTCATACTTTAATGACTCTATGACATCTTTCAAAGCCTCGTCAAATTCTTCATGTCCAACAAATATTTGAAGTATACCTGCAATAAATGATATGCTTAACATAGCATACTTGTATACTGTGTAAAAACTTTTAAATAACCTACAAATAAAGTACAAACATTGCATGTAACAGTGGCAAGACTTTCCTTTTCTCAAATGTCGCGGGTAATTATAATTGTTATACAAAAAAAAGCTTTCATTAAAATAGATTCTTATGCTCAGTCTAAATAAATATGAGTTGGAATCAGAAAATCACTGATAAGAATGTATCATCAAATCACATGAAAACTCTGATACAAGTTAAATAACATAATTATCATTTTCATTCATGGAAAAATATATTTGTTTACAACTGGCACGAGCAGTTTGAAGATTATACAACTTCAGTGTTTTGATGACAAAAGCATCAGGTCAGAAGACATCGCAAGTTACTATTGATATACATATGAATAGTTAAGGTACTGTTTTATAATAAGAGTGTACAGTGTGAGGCATAAGACCAACTTATATATCTGTAATCTCTTATCATTCACAGTGTTATTCTTTATCCCTTCCTTGATTACTTAATTCACAGTGTAGCGTAATCTTACTTTGTGTGTTTGTTTACCCTTGCCACTGGTTGGGCATTGTAATCTTATAGAGGTGCTAAAGGGGTACATATGCATATTTTTTAATTGCGCCACCACACTTGGTGATGACGTGCAGAATGTTAACCCAGTTCTAGACTTTAATTTGTATGTAATGTCAGGGTGATCTAAAGTTGGCGCTGGTATTCTTTAAGAACTACATAGTACTGTTGTTCAAAATTTTATGTAACCTTTATTGTTCAATGTATCTAGAAAATATATGAGCTCTATGTAAACATATTTTGCAATGTACTTTTTTTTTTTTGGCAATTCCAGGTTTAATCCAATCTGATTAAAATTAGCTCTAAATAATGCTCAGCTTTTAGATCTAAACCATGACCAAATATGAAATCATTTCTAGTGACCTTTCACACAGCCAATCATCGGTGAGCTTTCATAATTTTGAAAGCGATGTGGTTTCTAATTTTAACCCTGGGATTAAACCAATACTGAATAGGTAATTTTCAAGATTTCAAGAACAAACATGGCGTTGTCCATATAGCCAACTGGCAACAGGTAAACTGGCAAAAAAATCTTGCCCATTAAAAATTTACTCTATTATCTTATGTAAAATTGTTAAAATTACTTTAAACATTTTTTTCCTAATAAAAATCAACAGTTTGTTTAACTACCATGGAGAGCGAAACAGATACGGTTGTCATCAGATCTACATAAAAAAAATAAGTAGATCTGACCTTTAGTCAGATTGAGGCTTAATCAATGAAACAATTCCTCGTACTTATCAATCAGTCAACATTTAATCCTAACGTAAGACTTCCTTTTGCGATTCTCTAGCACTCAAATATCTATAGGTAGATTAGTATATAGGCTAACTGACATCATGTTATACCTGGTAAAAATTCAGCCAGACACCTGGTGGCTTGTTGTTTAAGCTGTTCTTTCTGTAGATCTGTATAATGTCTACTTTCCTCTGTAGACAGTTTTCCATTTGGCCAAATAGTCTCACTAAGTGTCTTGAGGTAGAAAATGTTCATCTCCGTAGAAGTTAAAAAATCTACTTTTTCTTCCAAAAACCTGAAAATATAGAAACATTCCAAGCTATAGTTTGAATATATACATGTATATAGGGTTATTGTATAAGTGTAGTTTATTGAATGAGTTGAAATAAAATCATATTATGTGAGTGAGCCTCTGGCCAGCATAATATTGTTTTATTCAACAAGTTCAATATATTTTGAATTGAATCTACACAAATATAATATTCTATTTATCACAAATATAAAATAAGAATGATAAACTGTTAAAAAAAGTCATATTTCATTGACGCACCTATAACTCAGTACACTATTGCTACCTGTATACATGTCACATATATAACAGTATCATCACTGTACAATATGGCTTCCTGTATACATGTCCCGTATATAACAGTATCAACACTGTACTATATGGCTTCCTGTATACATGTCCCATATATAACAGTATCAACACTGTACAATATGGCTTCCTGTATACATGTCACATATATAACAGTATCAACACTGTACAATATGTCTTCCTGTGTACATGTCGCATATATAACAGTATCAACACTGTACAATATGGCTTCCTGTATACATGTCACATATATAACAGTATCAACACTGTACAATATGTCTTCCTGTGTACATGTCACATATATAACAGTATCAACACTGTACAATATGGCCTCCTGTAAACATGTCACATATATAACAGTATCAACACTGTACAATATGGCTTCCTGTATACATGTCACATACATATATAACAGTATCATCACTGTACACTATGGCTTCCTGTGTACATGTCACATATATAACAGTATCAACACTGTACACTATGGCTTCCTGTGTACATGTCACATATATAACAGTATCAACACCACACAATATAGCTTCCTGTGTACATGTCACATATATAACAGTATCAACACCACACAATATAGCTTCCTGTGTACATGTCACATATATAACAGTATCAACACCACACAATATAGCTTCCTGTGTACATGTCACATATATAACAGTATCATCACTGTACACTATGACTTCCTGTGTACATGTTGCATATATAACAGTATCATCACTGTTTGAACTATGGTTTCCTGTGTACAGGTCACAAATATAATAGTATCATCACTGTACACTTTGGCGTCATGTGTACATATCACATATATAACAGTATCATCACTGTACACTATGGCTACCTGTGTACATGTTGCATATATAACAGTATCATCACTGTACACTATGGCTCCCTGTGTACAGGTCACATATATAACAGTATCATCACTGTACAATATGGCTTCCTGTGTACATGTCACATATATTACAGTATCGACACTGTACACTATGTCTTCCTGTGTACATGTCGCATATATAACAGTATCATCACTGTACAATATGGCTCCCTGTGTACAGGTCACATATATAACAGTATCATCACTGTACAAGATGGCTCCCTGTGTACAGGTCACATATATAACAGTATCATCACTGTACAAGATGGCTCCCTGTGTACAGGTCACATATATAACAGTATCATCACTGTACAATATGGCTCCCTGTGTACAGGTCACATATATAACAGTATCATCACTGTACAAGATGGCTCCCTGTGTACAGGTCACATATATAACAGTATCATCACTGTACAAGATGGCTCCCTGTGTACAGGTCACATATATAACAGTATCATCACTGTACAATATGGCTCCCTGTGTACAGGTCACATATATAACAGTATCATCACTGTACAAGATGGCTCCCTGTGAACAGGTCACATATATAACAGTATCATCACTGTACACTATGGCTACATGTGAATATGTCACATATATAACAGTATCAACACCGTACAATATGGCTACCTGTGTACATGTCACATATATAACAGTATCAACACCGTACAACATAGCTTCCTGTGTACATGTCATATATATAACAGTATCAACACTGTACTCTAAGACTTAATTCAGAACTCCTTATTGTACAATATAATAGATTATAACATTTATTAATTTAATATCCAAAATATAAATTGTTGCAAACCAAACTATGATAAGGGTTGTCATTTTACCTGTTTAAACCTTTCCCTATAAGAACACTAGCTGCCTGTTTCACATTTTCTCTACACATCCAGTGGTCTTGTCGCTGTAGAACTTCTGTGAGAATACCTAATACTGCATCACTGAGGGGTGTCTCTAACTCATTCAAGTGACTTAAAGCTGAAACAAGTTAACAAAATACGACGTATAAGATACATAGAGGATATTGAATGAGTGTAAGTTCAATACTGAATTTATTGCACAAGTTGAATAAAATTATATTATGCGAGCCTCTGGCGAGCATATTTTTTTATTCAACGAGTGCAATATATTCAGTAATGAACTTACACGAATTTGATATTCTATTTATCACATACCCAAAATAAAGATCGTTTAAAGTGATATAAGAGTCATTTTTTAACATTAACTTTAACATTTAGTGCTTTTTTACACTATGTTTGTATAACGCTAATGACGTCATGTCAACATATTATATGCATGGCCGTGCAATACCATATTTATGTAGTCGTAAAATCGGCATGGGTGTGTGATAAATATAGTTATTCTATCACCATGACAAAGATTTTGTTTTGCTTAAGTTGTCTTCAAGTGATCTCCCCTTTTCCAGAATTTCCTTTTTTTCTATGTACTGTAACCAACAAATATTTTATCTAATATTCATCTTAGTTTTTATGACAAATCCAACAGACACAAAAGAAATAAGTTGGAATTAACTGAAACTTTTTAAGACAACCTTTTGCTGTTTTTTTTTTTTTTTTTTTTTTTTTTTTTTTAAAATAATGATACAAATTTATCAAAGACCTGTCATATACTATTTAGTAGGTGAGATTACTCACCAAACATCAAAGCTCTGGTAATAAGTAATATATGTGATAAGTTTTAAAAATTTCAATGCTCAAGTCTATTTTCAGATCTTGTGACCTTGTTCTAAAAAGATCTTCTTTAAAAATTTCATTTTCAAAATCTATTTTTAACCCTTCTGACTTAGATTTCTAGAATACTCCAGCCATATGTTATGAAGTTTCAATCTGTTTATAATCTAGGACAGTTCTATCAACCTTGCCCAAAGTAGATCAGATGATATTCCATTTGAAACAATTGTAAATGATAAATAACAATCAGTGATCACATAAATTGTATGATGACAGCATATTTAGCAGTTATATAGAGGGGTGATTGACCAGTTGGTTCCCGTATATGTCACAGCTACATGTACTTTGTAGCATGTTTTAACTACTGAAAAGCAGAGGACACAAAAATCATTAACAGCCAAAAACGCTTTTTTTATTCAAGGGCCATAACTCAGTCACCTTAATTCAGCTTACAGATAAAACAAAGGAATACCTACCACTAGAGTGAGGGGTATTTTTAGCTGAATGTGCAACATGACTAGTAGCATCTATTTTATGTGGAGAGTGGGTCATGTGACTCGAGTTGTTTCCCTGCTCATCTTGCCATGTAATCACACTGGTTCCTGGTTGATATGAAAAAGAAGGAAATAATAGTTATATACATATGATATTAACATCATTTAGTGTTAATAATATGAAATTCTACCTTTATTCTGCTTAATTGGGGACAAGCTTCCATTTTTAGGATAATCAAAATTAGGGGTGTGGATCGTCCGGTAAGTGACGATCCGATCTGATCCACAATTCAGCACATGCGATTCACAAATCGAACCACGAATCTTTTGGTTATCAAGACACCCATAAAAACATGAACATTAGTTTTGAAAACATGTTAATTTTTCTTAAAACAATACTAAACATTAATTTAATTATTCATTAAACATATTATATGCAATGCAAATATAAACTAGGTTGAAAAAGAGTCGCCCCAATATAAAATTCCACCAGCAAAATTTACTTTCAATGAAAATGAGGAAAAAGCAGTTTGTAAAACATGCCATGGCAAATTGACTTATATAGAGGTGGTACAACAAACTTGTCTAATCACATGAAAAGACAAGTATTTCCAAAAATTGGAAGTAAATTTTGCTGGTGGGATTTTTATATTGGTGCGACTCTTTTTCAGCCAATACATGTACTATAATGTCACACTGACGTATTAACTTGCGTTTTTCCTAAAAATAAAACAGTCTTCAATACATGTCACTTCATTATAGATCTATACATAGCAACTAAAAATATCTATTTATTTTCATTTAAAAACAAGTGCTCAATAAAGATAAAGTGATTCCTTTTTCGAAACTAATGACTTCCTAGCTTAGCATCATGGTGCATGTTTGTTTACTTCCTGTCTTTAAAGAGCAAATTGTATTTAGGTAATCGTTGCATAATTCATACGCAAATTGATTTTTTTTTACATTTAAAGTGTAAAAAACAGCGAATGTATAATAAACAAATAAAATTACAATCCACGATCTCTGGACTGACGAATATTCGTACTCGATTTTTCATTTTGATTCGTGATTATCCGAGTACTTTTGTTAGTAATACACAATATAAATGTAAGGCTGGTAATTTGAAGTCAACAACCTTAAAAAGTTGTATAGGGGCTCAACTTTTTGAGAAGACAAGGATTTAACACAGGTGACACTGTGACCTTAACCTGTCCTTTGTGGCATAACCTCAAAATCAAAAGCATTTGCCATTGATTATATTCTTAAAAAGTTCTATTAGCCTACTAGGCTTATTTCCCCCTATGTTATTAACCAAACTTATCCTAGTTCTCACAATATAATACAAACCTAGGGTTGTATCCAAGCCACCTGTTTCATCTTGTAGAGTATTTGATTCTTGTTCAATAAATTTCTCAAACACATTTTCAACCTTATGTGTGGACATCTGTAATATAAAATTATATTTCAATGTTCATAGAAAGTGAAATACAAAACTATATTTCACTGTTTCATATATAGTAGAGACCTGCAAACTCAGTTCTCGACTTTTCCATTCAAGGGCCATAACTCACCCAAAAATCATTCAACCAGAACTTGGGATATCCAAGCACTCCTGTGTAGAATCATTCAAACTGCATAAGTGGTATCAAAAAAGAAAAATCATTAAAGGGCCATAACTCTGACAAAATTATTGAATAGTTTAGGCAATACAGTTTAGGAGAAGAAAATGTTTAAAATATGTTTACTAAATAAGTCTACATAAACAAAGTGACCAAAAGTGGGGCATTCTTTTATCTGAGGGTCATGATCTGCCATAAACATGTATCTAAGTTCTGGATATTGTTACACATGTATTCCAAAAATAATTTGAAATGTGTTTTCTTATACATGTACAAGACTTAATAATGATGCAAATAAATTCCTTGAACTACGTGTGTATAAATTTTATTTATGCATTTTGTTTTTTATGGCATATTTCTTGAGACAAATATCATTACTTCAAAAAGACAGTCAACAGTAACACCGCTATGATGACTTTATTCTTGAATTACTTTTTACTGCACAGCTTGCGCATGGTCATTGAACGTCTGACATCATCCTATTTACGAGTGCTTTTTCTTTTCCCCCCTTCTTTAAAAAAACTTGCTAGTTTTTTTTTTTTAACTTGTTATCAATAACATAACATAATTACAACTTTGTTATATAAGTTGCTGATAGGATATATAGGAGAATTTAGCCTTGCTGACATAATTATAACCCTCCAATAGCGCCTTGGGTAATATTTATCTTATTCAGGTTATATATATGCTCACGTTTACCCCGTCAAAAACTTGTAATATAAAATAAGCCTCATTATTGCTGTAATGTTTTGTCTTTTAGAATGAGTCATCATCATAACAATTATATTTCTTTGTGACTGACATGAATATCCTGGTACCTTGTTAATATCTTCTTCATAATCCAGATCTATATCATCAGTGTCCTCTGTAGGCTTGTCACCTGGGGTATCATCCTTCTCATCACGCTGATTTATAGGGGGGATAATCCTTGGTAACTGTTGAGGTAGACTTGGCAGGCCTTCGACTATCTTGTCAAACACTCCAGACATTGTCTTCACTAAACGCTGAAAATAAAATCCACTCACTTTCATTATTTTATGTTTTAATTTGGTGTTTGCCTCTAAGTCACACAGACAATGTATTTATCATTATCAAATAAACCATGGTGCAGAAGTGTTATAAAGCCATTTAATATAAAGGATATTACACAAGTGTAACAACACTTTGACGTGACGTCATTTGCGCTATATAGAAACATAGCGTTAAAGCACGCTAATGTTAGCTTTACACTATGGGCGCGTCATTGAAAAATTACTAATTTTAACAGTTTACTGTACACATATGTGATAAATAGAATATTATATTCATGTAGATTCAATACTAAATTTATTGAACGAGTTAAATAAAACAGTATTATGCTCGCCAGAGGCTCATATAATATGATTTTATTCAACTCGTTCAATAAATTTAGTATTAAACTATACTCATTCAATATCCTCTTTTTATTATGATCATGTGACTATTTAGTATTTGATAAAACATATTATACATCTATAACCAGGAGTGTAGCTAGAGCTTGAAGATTTATACGCAAAGTGAGGCACGAAGTGCCGAGAGGGGAAGCGTGCGGGAGGGGGTGTCCCCCACCCGCTGGTGGGTTTTTGGGGGGTCTCCCCCGGAAAATTTTGAAAAATTAGATGTCAATTGGCGGGCTGTGGCATGTCTTGAAGCACCTTTTGCACGTAAAGCATGAAGCATTTTCAAGTCATTTTTTCCCCATAAATTGATAAACATATAGCTGCTCGTTTTACTTTTTAACTTATTTCATTATAACTTCGAACAGATTTGTGAAGAAAAAAGGCAGTGTACGCCTTGTAGTTTTCTTATTTTACACGTGCATATAAACATACACAAAAATTTTCCATGTGAAAGTTGATTAAGGATGCAAATCATGAAATTGGTTTATGTATGACTAACCGTTCAATTGTAAAAAACATTTAACCAGATAACAAGTTTCTTTAGCATTTCTCATCAAATCAGTTTGGTAAGAATGGCTTTTCTCTTAAGCCTTCAGTCTTATTTATCCAAGTGTATGTATTATTTCCAAATAACAAGAAAAAATATACTCTGAGAACACTTCTATTCCATCGTAAGAAAGTAGGGAAATAACTAGATACAACGAGATATTAAATGGTCTAATGATCATTGAAGCTGTTTCGACCACTCCATAAGTCTCCTCAGGCGGTGATGAAATAGTAACAGTCTTTATTACTCATAGATATATTTTGTTGCCCACAAAGAATTATGGCCTCAATGATGGCTGCTAACGCCTCCCTGTTCTTTTGTACTTTCTGCCCTTAGGCCGTTGATCCGAACTCGACCACATTTTGCTCTTCCTTCCAGATGCGTACAAAGTGGTCGGCTCTTGTGATGGAATTCATGTGTTCTTTTGAGTGAGTGTGCCCATCAACGACTTTTCTTGCGTTGCTCAAATCAATCAACGGACGAGCAACAATCACATTTTCAGCCGCATTAAAGGCAAAACATGGGGCACAAAATACCCCATCAAATAAAGGGATGTACTATAATGAGATTGGTGCTTCTCTTGCTCAAACACAAAGTTCGGCAATCGCCTACTTGTTGCCTTTTTTCGAGTTCTCTGAGAGGTGCAATCCAACCTGCATGTGGCTCGAACCGTTCGGTGAGAACAACTTTTTTTTTAGAATCTGGCTTTCTTAGTTGGCTTCTGATATCAATACTTCCGATATCCAGGAATCGTGCTCCCAGGGAGCTCCTAGCGGTTCTCGAGGGGAGAAGAAGCAGGGGGAGACAGTAAACAGAAATGAAGATCTAAATCTATAGAGATAAAATCATTAAAATTTAGATTTTCTCAACTTTTTTTTTTACCTTCGGATTTCTTTATACCCAATTGCAAAGTGCAATTTGAAATTATGTATTTCAAAGTGAATACATATTTTCTTTTTATTAATTAATTAATTACATAATAAATACTAAAATAGCCATACTTAAAATTTATTGAATAGGTTGCTCGCAAAATTTCTTATTTTAGTGGTCCATATTTTATAAAGTTGTTCATATTTTATAAAGTGGCCAATTGAATTTTAGCATATTGTGCATATTCATAGATTTTATATCCTAGGCATATGATACATGTACATTATTGCACTTGTCACTGAATCTAAATGTTAGTATTATGCATATGTACCTCTGATTACAAGTGAAAATTTATTTGGTTTATATACTTCTTGTAAAACAAAGCCCATGTCAAGCAAACATTATTATAGAAATATGTTATATGACATTTAAATATTATTATAGAAATATGTTATATGACTTTTAAATAATATTATAGAAATATGTCTTCTGATGTTTAAATAGTATTATCAAAATATGTTATATAATGTTTAAAAATTATAACAGTACGCCAACGTTTTTCTGCCAATGAAATCGCTCTATTTTGTTTAAATTTTGCCAAAATATTTACCATACAGTGCTGTAACTCAACTGTATTTATTAAATTTTTATGTTACATGAGCGGATTTAATGGTCTCTGCCTATTTACATAGGGCTAATTGTAAGTCGGTTATTATAAGGTTTATATACAGTGTTTTAAGAAACTAATTTTCTCGCTTTACTTTGTTCACTCGAAAATTTATTTCTTAAAACTCTGTAAATAACATATAAGCTATACTTATGAAAATTATAAAGTCTATTGCTATAGGGTCATTCATTTAGTAATTACAACTTTAGGATTCAAGTGTAATGAAGGCATGTTAATTTATGTTCAATTTATCAAATTCATTGAATCTTATTAGATCAGGCAAGCGTTTCACTACAGGTTCTAAGTTTTATGTAAATTTGGACTCAAATATGCACCATTTTAACATTACTAAGGGCCATAACTCAAATATGCAATATCAGATTTTAATTTTTTATAAGCATCATTTTTCTTACATAGCCGAAATTTTATCTTGCATGGGGAGTGCTAAATGAGTCGCGTGCCATACAGCAAAGTCATTTTAGAGCATTTTATCAATGAACTGCTTAGGATGACCTCATTTCGCCGTTCTTATTTAAGTAGTTATTTGTAAATTCATAAGCTATAGTAAGAAAATAGTTATGGATGAAATGACATTTATTTCCATGAACAAATATCTACAAACCATTATTAAACCATTATAATCATAAATATGAAATATGGCAGAATATGCCAGAAAAAATATATGACATATGTTTGCAGATCATATCTGAATATCTGTCCCTCGGGAACCTGCCCAATGAGTGGGTCCCCGAGGGACAGATATTCCGGTCCGAACCACAACATATGACAGATATTATTATTCTTTTTACAATGAACACTCATGCTAATATTCATTACAATCCATGAAAATTGGGCAAAATCTTACATGTAGGTATGGATGTGATGGAAAAAAAGACAGACAGACGGATCATCAGGGAATAGAATAATTGAACTTGCATAAATCACATGTGTCAAACCTGATCTATTCTAGGTCCGGTATTCTCAGGAACTTTTCTAACAAATGCTATATGGCCATCCCCGCAGTAGCCAAGAAACTGTTTTAATTCCTCTCCATTACATATATCTTCTTTTCCAACCAGTGACTGAAAACAAATAAAGTAAGCTCTTTGATTTTGGAAAGAATTACATTATTACTTGCCCCTCACTGCTGTGGGTTGGAATCCCGACAGGGACTTTGGTGGATTCTTTCATGTGATAAAGCTTTCCAGCTAGGTTACGGAATGTCAGTGGTTCTACTCAGGTGCCTGTTTGTGCCTGAAATAATGCATGGAAGGGCACCTGAGGTCTTCCTCCACCAGTAAAGCTGGAATGTCGCGATATGACCTATACTGTGTCGATTTGACGACGTAAAACCCAAAACAAACAAAAACATTATTACTGATAAAATTGCTGATGTGGGAAAGTTATAAAAAACTAGTATAAGTCTGAATTTTTGGGAAACTGCATGAATTTATTCTATTGGGAATAGGCCTACAATTTCCTACAATTTATAGGCCTCTGTTATAAAATGGGGGAAAAAAACCTGCATTAGAAAATGGATAAGTAGACTGAATATACTGTCTGATTTTATGTGGCAGACTATCACACAATGATTGTATTCATCAAGCCTTTCACTGTATTGATTTTATACACTGAACTTGCCTAGTAAACTCTATTATTCATTAAAGCAGCAATCTGATTAAAATCTATGTGACTTCTATATACATTACTTCTATCATCTAAATGTAATCATGTAAAAGCCTATTTTATGTCGACCATTCAAGCATGAGACGTGCAAGCAACATATCAAATTACAGGAATATAACAATGCTCATGACTTTTGTGCACTTATTAAACAACAAAACATAAAATTCAGTATATAATGTTTGGTATATATTTTTTGAGCTTGATTGCAGAACAAGTTCTTTGAACTTATATTTTAATAATTACTTTTGAGTCCGCTTCCTGGAACCAGCCAGTACTGGTGCCAAATGAAGAAACATGGTTGTGACCCAATTAGGGCTTGAACACACGATACTTGCATATTATAATTTTTAGCAACTTGTCCAATATATTCAGTATTGAACTTACACTCATTCAATATCCTCTATTTATTCAAATACTTGCCCCTCACCACTGTGGGTTCGAATCCCAACAGGGACTTTGGGTTCTTTCATGTGAGGAAGCTATCCAGTTAATTTACAGAATGTCAGTGGCTATTCTCAGGTTCGTGCCTGAGATAATGCACGGATGGGCACCTGAGGTATTCCTCCACCAGTAAAGTTGGAAGGTAGCCAAATGACCTATACTGTGTCGGTGTGACGTAAAACCCAATCAAACAAACAAACAATTTATTCAAGTGCTGACAAAAAGGCCTTCAATTCCTACAAGGGGTCAGTCAAGAACAGAAAGAAATAAACTTACAGTCAAGAAAGTTTCTAACAATTCTTTGCGGCTATCTACAGTATCCTTCCCCATGTTTCCAAATGGCAAAGACGGGAGAATTTTCTTCGGTCCCTTCACATCTAAAAAATATATCAAACTGTGTGACGTAATTATATATCAAATATTTAAAGAGTCTTCAAGCAAATTTTTAAAATTGTAAAAATAAATTTTAAAATTCCAAGATATTTCATTGATAATTTCACAATTCCTACAAAATTTACCATGATGGTGTTATTTTTCTATTACATTTCACCTACATGTGCAATTAATATTAAGATATTAGTAAAAAATACATGTGTATGTAAAATGTAACATACCCCCCCCCCCTTTCTCCCAGAAAAATAGTACCGGTCCTGACAACCACACATAAAATTTCTTTATCTATGTAATTTAATAACCAAATTACTTATATAATTATTTACTAGGTACATGTAAATCATTAACCCTTTAATTATGTATATCATGGAAATGAATATTTCACAAAAAAAACCATCTAAAAATGAAACAATATACACACAAAAAATAAATTCTCTGTTCTAAAATCAATAAGTAAAAGCAAACAATAATGTTAAGGTGTTTTCGGGAGTTTTCATATAGACATTATAATCGGCAAAATTAAAACGAGAACGGTGACCCAAATTTTTTTTTCACTTAAAATGTTTCTGTTATCATATTCTAACAGTTAACATGCCAAGTTAAAAGAAATTCTATTAAACAGTTTTAATTTTGCCTATATGTCTTTATGAAAAGTCCCTCAAACGTCTTCAAGTTATAATAATACAAGTTATAATACATGTACCTGTAACCTATCATGCTATTATAAATGTACATATGTAACAGGCAAAGATTTTATTTTATTGTATAATACCTTTCATGCTTTTCTTATAGACTGGATTATCTTCAAGCCTTGACTGTAGATTTATAAACTCTTTGAATCTTCTCTTTACAGTACCAGACTTATATACCAATTCTCCAACATCAGACTGGTACAGGGCCTCATACTGAAATAAATTATATTAGACTGGTACAAGGCCTCATACTGAAATAAATTATATATCAGAGTGATACAGGGCCTCATACTCAAACAAATTATATCAGACTGGTACAGGCCTCATACTGAAATAATTATATATCAGAGTGATACAGGGCCTCATACTCAAACAAATTATATCAGACTGGTACAGGCCTCATACTGAAATAATTATATATCAGAGTGATACAGGGCCTCATATTGAAATAAATTATATATCAGACTGATACAGGGCCTCGTACTGAAATAAATAATATATCAGACTGATACAGGGCCTCATACTGAAATAATTATATATCAGAGTGATACAGGGCCTCATACTCAAACAAATTATATTAGACTGATACAGGGCCTTATACTGAAATAAATTATATCAGACTGGTACAGGGCCTCATATTGATATAAATTATGTATCAGACTGGTAAAGGGCCTCATACTGAAATAAATTATATCAGACTGATACAGGGCCTCATACTGAAATAAATTATATCAGACTGATACAGGGCCTCATACTGAAATAAATTATATCAGACTGATACAGGCCTCATACTGAAATAAATTATATCAGAGTGATACAGGGCCTCATATTGAAATAAATTATATATCAGACTGATACAGGGCCTCGTACTGAAATAAATTATATATCAGACTGATACAGGGCCTCATACTGAAATAAATTATATATCAGACTGATACAGGGCCTCGTACTGAAATAAATTATATATCAGACTGATACAGGGCCTCATACTGAAATAAATTATATATCAGACTGATACAAGGCCTCGTACTGAAATAAATTATATATCAGACTGATACAGGGCCTCATACTGAAATAAATTATATCAGACTGGTACAGGGCCTCATACTGAAATAAATTATATCAGACTGATAGAGGGCCTCATACTGAAATAAATTATATATCAGACTGATACAGGGCCTCGTACTGAAATAAATTATATCAGACTGGTACAGGGCCTCATACTGAAATAAATTATATCAGACTGGTACAGGGCCTCATACTGAAATAAATTATATCAGACTGATACAGGGCCTCATACTGAAATAAATTATATATCAGACTGATACAGGGCCTCGTACTGAAATAAATTATATCAGACTGGTACAGGGCCTCATACTGAAATGAATTATATCAGACTGATAGAGGGCCTCATACTGAAATAAATTATATATCAGACTGATACAGGGCCTCGTACTGAAATAAATTATATCAGACTGGTACAGGGCCTCATACTGAAATAAATTATATCAGACTGGTACAGGGCCTCATACTGAAACAAATTATATCAGACTGGTACAGGGCCTCATATTGAAATAAATTATGTATCAGACTGGTACAGGGCCTCATACTGAAACAAATTATATATCAGACTGATACAGGGCCTCATACTGAAATAAATTATATTAGACTGATACAGGGCCTCATACTGAAATAAATTATATTAGACTGGTACAGGGCCTTATACTGAAATAAATTATATTTGACTGGTACAGGGACTCATACTGAAATGAATTATTTTAGACTGGTACAGGGACTCAAACTGAAATAAATTATATTAGACTGATACAGGGCCTCATACTGAAATAAATTATATATCAGACTGATACAGGGCCTCATACTGAAATAAATTATATATCAGACTGATACAGGGCCTCATACTGAAATAAATTATATCAGACTGGTACAGGGCCTCATACTGAAATAAATTATATCAGACTGATACAGGGCCTCGTACTGAAATAAATTATATCAGACTGGTACAGGGCCTCATACTGAAATAAATTATATCAGACTGGTACAGGGCCTCATATTGAAATAAATTATATATCAGACTGATACAGGGCCTCGTACTGAAATAAATTATATCAGACTGGTACAGGGCCTCATACTGAAATAAATTATATCAGACTTGTACAGGGCCTCATATTATATATCAGACTGATACAGGGCCTCATACTGAAATAAATTATATTTGACTGGTACAGGGACTCATACTGAAATGAATTATTTTAGACTGGTACAGGGACTCAAACTGAAATAAATTATATTAGACTGATACAGGGCCTCATACTGAAATAAATTATATCAGACTTGTACAGGGCCTCATATTATATATCAGACTGATACAGGGCCTCATACTGAAATAAATTATATCAGACTGATACAGGGCCTCATACTGAAATGAATTATATCAGACTGATACAGGGCCTCATACTGAAATAAATTATATTAGACTGATACAGGGCCTTATACAGAAATAAATTATATTAGACTGGTACAGGGCCTCATACTAAAATGAATTATATTAGACTGACACAGGGCCGATGTTGAAAATGATTTTTTTTTACTACCCTGAAAGGTTTAAATTGATTATGAAGCTATCTATTAAACAGATTTATTTGAACTTTGGCAGGATTGTTGAAGTTATCATTATTCTGTCATGAAATTTAAACTTTTAGTTTTGTCTAGAAAAGTGTGTTTGTTTTTCTTTTTTTAAATTAAAATTTTGAATCTGTCTCCCAAATAATTGACAGCTACACAATTGGCATGAAGCAAATGGAATCATAGCTACTAAATGACTCACTGGCTCAAGGTAGAGAATTGGTGTATTATTTCCTCAAACATTTTGTGAGCTATGCTACAGATACGATATCATTTGTCTAAATAATATTTTCTTTTTGCTAAACTTCTTGTTTCTTCTTCTGTATGAATGTTTATTACCCTTCCAGATTTTCCCCCCTTTTTGATTGGATATAATTTGAACCGCCAATAGAAATTGATATTACCAAGCCTGACAGGTAATATATACATCAAATATTCCCTTTGGGTACCCCACGTTGTAAGAATATGCACTGTGACGATGCGCGTATGGTTCAATGTTGCGCTCCGGTGACGTCATTTTGCGATGAAGGGGATCATCTTATTTCGACGTTTAATTTCAAACAGCATTGATTTATTTTTAAATCATCTTACTCCACAGGGGAAGGGTAATAAAATTATTGTTTTAAATTTTGGAGTGACATATGTGGATATGGGCTCGGATGATATAAAATCTTGGCAGGTAATATATTTACATAAATTACTCCAAAACCAAAATAACATATTATATATATATACAGGTATATATATATCCAGAGACACATGGTTCAGGTCCCGCCTGTGGTACTCGATTTTTCTGTGTATAATTTCCTGTTAATGACTTTCTTTCTTTCATTTATATTCATTCATAGGCAGTAGTGCCCTTATAAAATTAATTAATGTTATTTATATGTATAATAAGAAAAAACTGTGTATGTGACTGAGTCAGCCTACTGCTATAATAATACAGCTCAGCCCTCAAAACATCACAATAAAGTTAAAAATAACTTAAATACATAAGGTCAATTAGCATGAAGAAAAGGCAGCGGCCGCTGTGGTGTAGTGGTTAACATATTGGACCGGCAATCCAGAGACCACTGGTTCAAGTTCCGGCTGAGGCCTGCAGATTTTTCGCGTGATTTTTCTATAAATATAGAATTATAGCTCAAGATATATTTATAAACATATGTCTGACTTTTTTCAAAGATGCCAAAGGATTTTTTTAAAAATATTATAAATAAGATCACCTCACCTCAACATTGTACAATGTGTATTCACCAAAGCTGCCAACCTCCTTCGCCTTTTCTGTAGATGTTATTCTGACGTCCTGAAATACAGATGGCCTTTGTACTGGCCATTGCATGTCATCTGACACTGGGGTTAAATCACCTTGTGAATGAGATCTTTTAATGTCATTTTTACTCTTATTTTTCATATCTGATGATACTGCTGATTCTAGAGTAGGAGACAAACTTTTAAAACTTGGCCTCTTAAACGGGAAAGATGGAAAAAGGGGAATTTTTAATGATGGGAATATGTTAGATGATGATTTATTGTCTAAGCCACTGGGAGATTCTAGGACATTGTCATTAACAGGTAGTTCTGAAGATGATGTACTGTCTTTTTTGCTAAGGTTAGAACCTTTGAGAGAACTAGAATTTTCTGGTTTCAAAGCAGAATTTTCATCTTTCTGAATCAAAGATGGTTCATGCAATTCATTAGGGATAGACTGTTGCATGTCCACATCACTTTCATGTTTTTCACTGGAGGCAAAAGTAGCACTATCCTTTGATGAAGTACTGGATACAGAATTGAAAGACTGTAAGGAAAGACGTTCTGGGTCCTCACTAATGTCAAAGAAAACTGGAGTTCTACCAAGAGAGCATGAATGTGGTCTTGGTGGGATACGGTCTTTGTCAGCTGAACAAAGTCTGTTACATTCATTGCACAATCCCTCTGAAACCGAATGAAGCTCAATGTCCTCCTTCCATTTTACACTAAAAGAATCATCTTTAACTTTATCACTTGTTCCATCGTCTTGCTTATCTGATATAACATCAGGGATGTGTTCAGACTCAGCAATAGAATTTGAGACTATTCTTTGACTTAAAATTGATTGCACTTTCTTGGTTTCACTTTCTGAAACAGTAATTAAAGGAATACTTTCTATGCTTGCACAAATCTCCTCGTCTGAAGTAATTTTTATTATTCTTTCATGAAGGAATGTTGTATCACTTAAAAGATCCATCACCTTTTGAAGCACATTGCAAGTTAATATCTCTTTCAAGGCACAAAAAAGTGCTTTGGAATCATGCATATCTTCTCTCAACAAATGAACCAACAACATTTCAATTATTGATTTCTGATAAGCATGCTCTGCTTCAGCACTTTTCCCCGGGGCAAAAATGAAATTCTTTTTTATACCCCATAGCTTTTCTTCCACATTTTTAAATAAAACTAAAATTTTTTTGAAGGGGGAAAATAAACCGATACTACCAAAACAGTGTTAAAATTTTTTCACAAAAACTTCTTCGCCCCCCGGGCTTTTTTTTTGGGCACCTTAAAGCATAACCTCTGCCTCTTTAACAAACGCACAATATTTTTAAAATTTAAAAAACAATATAAATTTTTTCAAAAAAACTGTTTTTTATTTGCCCCAAATTTAAAAACCTATTTTTTTAAAAAAATTAACGGGAAATTGGCAAAATATATTTATTTTTTTTCAGTAAAATGTTTTCTCTTTTACTAAAAAAAAATTTTTTGTCCCCAAATTTCAAATAAAACCCCTTTTTAAAATAAAAACAATTATTTTTTGTATTTGAAAAAAAATTTTCCCACGGTCGAAAATTCTTTACCCTTTCGAGATAAAAATTTCCAATGGGGGTTTTTGGTAGGGCATTTTTAATCCTTTTTTTCCCTCAATAAAATCTTTAAAATTCACATTTTTTAAAACCCTCTTTTTTCGTTTTAATAAATTTTTTGTGCTTTTCCTCATTGTTATTTCTTTCAGATTTTTGTTAAAAATTTTTTAAAAAAATAACTTTTTTTTAAGAAAAAATACAGGATAAATTTTGATGGGGAAATTTTTGTTTTGCCCCTTTAAAATATATTTGGGAAAAACTGTAAAAAGAGGGGGAAATTAAAATTTTACAGTGCCCTTTGATTTACACGAAAAAAAACCAAAAAACTTCTTGTTAAGCTTAGAATAACGCCCACAAAAATCGAACAAATAATAACTTTCTGAAACTGCGTGAATTTTCTGTGGTGTGCAAACACATCTTTAAGAAGATGAAATAAATTTAAAACCATTTTCAGTTAAAATCATTCTACAAATCCGTCTAAAACACTAAAAATCTGAAATATTCGCTATTTCCTAATTTATTTTTTTCCAGCATCCGCCATTTTGAATTTAGTCTGATCATGTGACTTGCCCTTCAAAATGAAAGACTATTCGTTCTCAATATTATTCGAATCAATTCATGAGTGTAGGAAATTGTTATTAAACATGATATATGCATGCATATATAACAGTCCAATTCATGATATTTCTTTGAAAAAACATTAATATGACAATAATTTCTTCCCAGCTTTAATCAATATAATTAATTTGAATAAATAAGTTAGTATTAAGATTTTATTTGCTTCCAAGCGGTACCATTAAAATACGCAACGGAGATTTTTTGGCGCAACGGACGCAACGGGCGCAACGGAGTGCAACATTTAAAATGTGGCGATAAGATACGATTAGCAATGCATTTTTTAAAATTAATATCAGTATGTGTTGAATAAAATAATATTTTGAATTTATAGAAATCATATAAAAACAATATTTTCTATATTATGACGCGACGGAGATTTATTTTTTTCAAAACTAGCAAACAAAGTACTTTTTATTGAATATCCAATAGTATATGCTAAATAAGTCATAAGTTGAAATTACAGAATCAACTTTTAAGTCTTTTCGAAGAAAAAAGGGGAATATAGAAATGGGCTCCGTCCGTCTGTCCGTCACACTTTCGTGTCCGGTCCATAACTTTGTCATTTATCAAAGGAATTTGTTTGAAATAATTGGCACAAATGTTTGGTTATGATAAGACGATTGTGACATTGCTAACAACGCAGACCCCTATCTTCCAGGGTCAATGGTCGCAACTTGCTCATTCAAGTGTCAACATTGTCTATTTGGGGTTATATGTCGTGTTCCAGGTCTCCTAAACTTTTCGTAATCTTTGAAGGATTTTTGTAAATACTTGCCACAATTGTTCACAACCAATGAGACGATGTGTCATGCGCAACAATTCGGTCACTTACCTCCAAGGTCAAGGTCATTTGGAGGTAAAGTTAAAAAAAATCTTTTTATTTGGGGATATATTTTTGACCTGCCCCTAACTTTTTTCATAATCAAAAAAATTTTGAAAAAATTTTGGCACAAAAATACACTAAAAAGGGGAATTGTATCCCGCAAACACCTGCCCCCAAACCCCAAAAGGTCAAGGTCACAATTAAGGAAAAAAAATTTTAAACAAAATTTTTTTTAAAATTAGGGTTTATATTGTGTCAATCTAGAATTGATTCATATTTAAAAAGGGATTTTAAAATTAAATTTTGGCCAAAAGAAAAATAAAAATTTGGAACTTTTTAAAAACACCTGCCCCCCTTTACCCCCAAGGCCCAAGGTCACCAATTAGGGGTTTAAAAGGGTTTAAAAAAGAGTCTGTTATTTTAGTATTTTAGTGTCCCGTCCAAAAAATTTCTTAAATTAGATAAAAGGGATAGTCCCCAATAAATAAAAATGAAAATTTTATGCGTAACACCCGGGGTTCCCTCCCTTTCCAAGGTAAAGGGTCACACTAAAAGGTAAAAAGTTTACATATTTCCTGTTAAAAGGGGTATATTTTTGTTCCCCGGGTTCAATAACTTTTTTATAGATAAAAGGGGTTTTAAAAAAAAACCCAATGCCAAACAATCAAAATAATACATAAAATTTAAAAAAATTGGGGCCCATGTAGTGTAATTTAAAATTTTAAATTTTGATTGTTGTTTTTTCCATTTTTTTCGCGTGTGCCCTTTAACCCATTAATAATTTTTCTTTCCCCTTAAATGAAAATCAAACAAAATAAGGGGTTTTTTCAAAACCTGAAAACATGAAATTTTTAGATATGTCCCCAAACTTTTTTAATAAAAATTTTTACTGTAAATAACCCCTTGTTTTTAAAAATTATGGATGTGTCACAGGGTATAATTAATAATACACTCCTGGCGTATGTTCGTCAATTTAATATAATACGAAGAAAAAGCCTGAAAACATAAATACAATGTACATGATTAAAATACTAAAATATTAACAATAAAGTTGATTAAAATGTACATAAAATATACCAATACAAGAATTGAGCGATGCAAATAAGAATAAATTTCAAGTAAATGAATAAAATGAAAATAATCTTACCACAGCGCCTCCATACAAAAAAATAAATAACTGAATAATAAGTTATTTCCTATCAAAAAATCTATTAAAAAATTATAGAATCAATGTAAGTACAACTGTATCTACACTCGTAAGAGAATAAAGTTGAAGTGAGCTGGAGAGCTATGAAAAAAACGCAGTCTAAATTAGCAAACAAAACCAGCGTAAGAATTATTTTAATAACTTGCAATTTTCATTTTGAAAGAAAAACATGTTGTTTTTTTTTTCTTAAGGAATTACCATAATCATGTTTCATATAGAATGAAATTTAGGTAAATAACCTTAACATTGATTTAAAACAAATAGTGGCTATTTATTTTCTCGGTTACTATATATAATACCAGAAGGAATAGTACTCACTAATCTGTAAAATACCCTTCATAACTGGATGAAAGAAAAGAAATCTACGTCTTCACTACGAAACATAATTATCTCTCTATGAAGTTAATTTAAGTTAGGTCTCGCCAGGGACTTTGGATTCATTTTACTTTTATGTCAGGAATTCGAAGCTCTTCAATTGGTGGTTCTACTTGCCTTAAATTATGCACAGAGGGGCACAAGAGGTCTTCCTCAACCAGAAAAATCTGGAAAGATGCCATATGATCTACGACTTCATACTCAACCCCCGAATATAATAATAATTATAATAACAATAAAAATAATAATAATAATAAAGCGTTTTGATACTATTATATTATATCCCGGACTAGCTATTACTGCTATTAATAATAAAAAGATATAACCACCGACGGTATGCAGGGCTCATCGACAGATGGACCGGCCAAGATTAGTTCAGTATACCCCACCACAATTTTGATGTGCAGAGGGTGTAAAATGTAACAACAACAGCAACACAGGTGTAGAAAAATATTTAAGTCCTAACGAACCATTTCAATATTGATTTCAATTGTCTATACATGTAGCTGTTTATAACTTCATTTAATCTTACGTTTCGATTGAAAAGAAGCACGTACATGTTATGATGCAGATTTTCAAATTTTACAATAAATCGTGTGCTTTCTAAATAATTTTTAAGAAATAGTTTTAATATCCAGCACTAATAACTTCACTTCAATTCAAACTTTTGTCCATGAACTTATTTAAAAACACCTACAAATCATATTTTCTTATTATTTTAACATGAAAAATAACGATAAAAAGATGTCACAAAATTGTATGTGAATTACGTTACATAAAAAAACCCAAGAGAGTAATTCTTAAAATAAGTGATATAAATGTAAATCATCAATTATTAAAATATAAAAAGACCTAAATTACACAAATGAATATCAATAATTTGATCCAAATAAATAAAATCTAAATTGTTAGCCCATCAACTAGAAATTTACGTTTTGACATTAAAGTGACATAATGCTCATATTTTCATAGTCAAGTGGAGCTAAATTGACTTTATATTTCAAAAGATTGACTGTTAAAATGGTGTTAGACCAACAGGTGATATTTGAAAATGTTTAGGTCTGCCTTAAATATAAAAAAGACTTCCCCACTTTTTTTATAAACTAAACGTTACACGTAAATTCTAATGGATATTCACCGAAAATTCCATAATTAGCCGGGTCTGTGCGTTATTTATTGTTTTTGTGAAGTCAATTATTCAATCATAAGAAATTATTGCAAAATGAAAACTTATTTATATATTCACATGGTCACTCACTATATACCCTTGGATGGGCATAATGTCACTTTAAAAATGTGAATTACGTTTACCTTCCTATAGTTGCAGCTTATTACAAGCGCGTTATATTCGTTTATTTTCACAATGCTGGTACATGCTTCTTCCAAAACAGATAATTTCAGAATCTCTACCTGAAGCATTTCAGAAGGCCTCAGCGTCTTATAAAATCACAAACTCCTCACAGTGATTACCTCCCTTGGCAGAATTGTAATCACTGCCTTCACAGAC